GACTCAAATAGAAAGTGTTTTGGAAAATATTGATGGCAACATATGTACAAGTGTGTTTAATACTATTGAATGTTGGATTGTTATAAGATTTGTAAGAGACCCCCAATAAAATGATTCATTAAAAATATTTTATAAAAGAAAGAAAATGTCTAGTGCCTCGGGCTCTGTGGGCCAGTAAAGAACATCGCACAAAATCCAGAAACCAAAGTCGTCGGTGCCATCACCCGATTTGAACCCACACTGCATATCCATGGAACCAGCCATCCAATTGGGTGCATGCTGCAAAATGCCTCTGTAAAGTTTTAAAACATAAAACGGGCCCGACCCTGGCACGGTCTTTCAGAGCCCCTCCTATGCCACAGGAGAAGTGGACAATGGACTAGAGAACCAAGCCGTCCGCACCCTGCTATCGACAAGGAGTCAGAGCAATGCGGTGGACTTCCAGGAGAATGACCACGTCCGCCTTCTCAGAAATACACCCCGCACATTCCACCCATGGAGCAACTTCCGCTCCCTTACTGAGGACATGACATCATGAAAGCCCCCATTGGTCAAGAAGGGTATGATTGCTTAGTGAAGTCAAAGTCAGTGGAACGAGGGAGACCAGGTGGCTAGATTGAGACCAGGGACTGAATGGGCCAGGTTGTGACAGGAGCCACTGTGCTGGGGCAGATGGTACAGGCCCGGCCCATTTCAGCATGGAATGCACCAAGCAGCACCCATCAACTAATGAGCGAGCGGCAGGCACTATGCTTCCAGGCCAGTGGCCCACTGAATCCCACAATGACACGGGGCATCATTGCTCTTGGGCTCCCAGTTTTCAAGGTGAGAAATGTGGTTCTGATGGTCTTTGGACCTGGCCCAAGTCCCACTGCTAGGAGATAGGGACCATTGATTCCATAGAGCCAAATGCCACTTTGTCACTCTGTGCCTTTCCGTGTTCTGTTTCATCAGACCCAAATCCACAAGGCCCTGCATCTCCCTCGGGTTGAATTCCTGGTGAAGGGTCTGAAACATCATCATGGCCAACATCTTCCCCAGGGCCCGGCACGCAGGACTTTGCTGGTGGAGGGAGGCAACCTGTTGGAGAGGAAAGTCAGGAGCTTAAGACATGGGGTGGCCAGGCCGGGCCGGGCCATCGTCAGTCAGCTCTGAAGAGGTTCGCTCCTGCAGCAACGTGGAAAGCACCCATCACGTGGTCGACTGTATGGGGGCACAGGGTGCAGCTATCATCGAGTGTGGCTCAGTGCTCAGGAGGGTAGAAGGAGCATGTGGTTATCCACGATGGTGGAGGCACTAGAAAGATAGGCCGAAAAGGACCCTTAGCCCCGAGAGGACATTCTTTACATCCAAGATGGCCCACATTGCCACCAGGGTGGGGCACTGGGTGTGAGGCTTGTGGAAACCAGGAAGGAAGTTGTCCTAGGAAGTGCAGGAGAGGGGTGCTAACGGGCAAGGAGAGATTAGCCTGGAACTCCAGCTATGCCCATGAAGTCCAGCGATTATAAAAACACCAGGCTTTCCAGACTTCTGATACCTCGGTAGCGCCCGACATTGGCGTTTATGAGTTCCTGTTTCCTTCAGAAAGGTTTCTTTTGGGTTAGGCAGGATGGAGTGGGTTTGGGTAACTCTGCTGCCCTGAAGCGGACCGAGGAGTCTGAAACTGTCACAACACACAGCCTCAAGGCAGCAAAACAACAAACAAGGACAAGACTTGGGGGCAGGGGACACTCTGGAAGTGCTGTCGATTCAAATCAGGGCCCCGCTACTTGTCAGCTCTGGACCTATGTGACTCAAACTCTCTGAGGTACATTTTCCACATCTATGAAAAAACACTATTTTACCTGGGTGTTAGGATTAGAACTGTACCCAGCGCCAATGGGCTGAAATAATCCTACAGGCTCAGTTCCCCCACCTTTCATCTCCCTCTCTCTCAATGCCAACTCATAGCAACCCTTAGCGGGCAGGTACGGTAGTTGCATCATTTCATGTCAACTTGATAAATAAGCTAGGGGCGGAGTCTAGCCTGTCAATCAGGTCACAGCCTGATGATGCCTGCTTGTGGGCGTGGCCTTCTCATGAGGATTCTGGGAACATACTCCCTCTCTGCTTCACTTTCTTGTTGAGGAGACATGCCCAGAGAGCTGGAGGAGCATCACGCCAGCACTGAGATGCTTCCACCAGCACAGGATCCACAAATCTTTCCACCCACCAGCCTGTGATCTTCTACATTTGGCATCATTGCATGCACTGTGTGAGTCTGAAGAGGAATTTATGGGCTACTATCGGACTTAAGAGTTAATATCGAACCTATGGACTTGATCTGGACTGGGCTGGGATGTTTTCTTTCTTTTTTGGGGGTGGGGGTGGTCCCTTAATATACAATTGCTCTTTGATATAAAGCTCTCTCTCACACACATGAGCATCAGGATTTATTTCTGTAGTCAACCCTGTCTAACACAGCAGGGTAGAATTGCTCCCCTGGGTTTCTGAGATGTAACTGTTTGGGGGAGTAGGAAGCCCCGTCTTTCTTCCTTACCTTTCATAACCCTCCAAATTAAGAGACATCAGGCAGGCAGCAGTCTTTGGCGTGGCGGGAGGTGGAGGGTGTCAGGAGCCACCAAGGCAGGGCTTTGACAGATGGACAGAAATGCCACCACGTGACTGCCTGGTGGTAGCATTTCCCCACAGTGGCCAGCGCTCATTCCTGACGGGCCGCTGTGCAAGGCAGGCTTGCACACTGAGAACGCAGAGGGGCACCTCTCTCCCTCATGAACTGCCCCTGGAGGCTCAAGCCTCCCAGCCTCAGTGGGTCACAGGCCCACCGGGATTCTCACCCCCAGGAACTAGCAGCCCAGGGAGGTGCTGGGTGTCGAGCCTGGCCTGCCAGGGCCTACCTAGTGGCAGGGGCCTTGACATCTGGCCAATTCAACAGATCCTGACCTCAACCTCCTCAGGCCCACAAGGAGTTCCTCAGAGAAGCCACCGGGCATTTTCAGAGGCCAGACAACAGCCCTCAATGCTGCTTTGCCCTTTTCTGCCCTGAGGGAGGTGGAGAGGCCTGTAGAGGGTCAGCCTGACAGTGCCCAAGCCTTTCCCTCGCCAGACCTCTCCTCAGCACACACCGCTGTCCCACCTGGCATGGTGGGTGCCTGTGCTGTGGAGGAACTCAGAGGGACACAGAGCTCAGGGATTACGGTGTGCCTGCCAGGCCGTCTTAGAAATCTCAGACTTGAGCAAGGAGAACGAGTGTTTTCAGTATTTTATTAACAAATGAATGAGCAATAGAAGTGGTTGTCTGGGAGGGCCCCTTCTTCCCTGCATGGAGCATCTACTTTGCACCCTCCTTGGCGGCCAACATCTGACGGACATGTTCTGTTTGTTTTCAGGCTGCTTGGCCCCCACCCTCTTCCCCTCTCAGCAAAGCAAGGGCAAGAGGGAGAGGGACTTCCCGCCCGATTCCAGGGACACCAAGGCCACCCTGCCTGCTCCTTCTGGAGGACAGGATCGGTGTCACTTCTCCCAGTGGCAGGGCCCCTGGTTCAGGGTACTTGACCTTCCAGGGAGGTCGGACTCAGCACGGGTCCAGTCTCTTAGATCAGCTAAGAGGGCAGTCTGCGACCGCTGTCAGCTGACATGAGCCTCCAGGACAAAAACAGAAAGCTGGGATGCGAGGCCTCTGCATGGCAACCATTTCCCTCTCAGCCTTGGGGGAGTCTGACCCCCACCAGGGAAACGGCAGCTGAGTGGGGCGTCATAGGAGCACACCAGGGAGCGCGGAGGAGGAAGGGACAGTCTTGGGCTAATACACCTTTGGTTTGCCCCCAGCACCTCTTCTCCCCAGAAGCCAAGTCCTCACATCTCCAATGACAACATCGGTCACTGGTCACTTGCTCCCAGCCCTCGGTCCTTTGTACGAATGGACCGGAAGGTGGCCGCCTCTGTGCTCCTCAAAGTCTCCTTCCTCCAGCCACAGGTGACAATCACTGACGACCTTCACGCTGCATTTACAAGATCTACAACAGGTTTCTACAAAGTTCCAACTGCTGCTTAGTGGGTTTGCCCCAAACCAGGGGTGTGCAGGAGAAGATGCTGTGCTGTCATCAAGGCAGTTGGACACACACACACACACACACACACACACATACACACACACATGCAGACCCCCTGTAGGAGGCTCCCAACGAGAGGGCTGTGGAACAGAAGTCTCGGAGTCTCCGTGAGCGAGGCGGCCCAGGGCACCCAAAGCTCAGAAACAGATGAGGCGCTTTTCAGCTTCAAACATCTTGGCCTCTTCTGGCTTGAGCAAGTTTCCATTTAGGCTGTTGATGTGGAGAAAAACAAAACAAAACAAAAACCACGAGTGAAATGTTGGGGGCTTGCACCCTTCTTCCCAGCATGTCTCTCTAGCCCACTCTCGTCACGGGACCTTATGGTTTAGAAGTCTAGTCAGTCACCTCCCGGACGTCTGCCCTGCAGCTCTCCCAAAGTGACCACGTCTCCCTAAGCTGCTGACCCTGTGATGGTCTTTCTCCAGGACCCCCCACCCAGGGAAGGGTCGCTACTTATCCAGCTGTGGAAGCTAGAGCCTGGGGTCGACCTGAGCACTTGTGCCTCACCTTTAAGCAATCACAGTTCTTTTGTTAGCCCCCCTAAATGTCCCTAGAGGAGCCCCTGGTGGCATAGTGGTTCCGTGTTGGGCTGCTAACTTCAAGGTCAGCAGTTCAAAACCACTAGCCACTCCATAGGAGACAGGGCTTTGTACTCCCATAAAGAGTTACAATCTGGGAAGCTGACCAAGGGCAGTGCTACCCTGTCCTGTGGGGTCACTATGAGCCAACATCAACTCAAAGGCAGTGAGTTCTTTGGGGTTTTTTGGAAATGTCCTCAAATTGCTCTCTGGGAGTGCTCCATTTCTTCACCACCACCACCACCACCACCTGGACTGAACACCCAGTCTCTCTCCTCAGGATCCTGCCAACCGTCCTCACCCCCATCAAGTCCCTTCTAGTCTTCATAGTGCAGTCTGAGCACCCCTCTTCTGCTTAGCACCCTTCAGGGACTTCCCATTGCTGGCAGGATCAAGAACAAATGCTTATGGCGACCCACAGCAGCCTTTGAACAGGGCCTGGTCCCCTGAGGTCACACAGATAGAACACAGATCTTTCATGGCCTCTCTCTACCTATCCCCCAACTCCCGTCACCTGCTTACAGTTGTGTGCGAACAGCATGTTCTCCCTGCCTTAGAGCCTTTGTAGATGCTGTTCCCTCTATCTGGGATGCGCTTCCGGCTCGCTGCCTTATCCCTTATCCTTCGTGGCTTAGTTTAAATACTGCTTCCTTAGGAAGACCCCAAACCAAACTCACTGCTATCATGCGCCTATAGGACAGGGTAGAACTGCCCCTGTGGGTTTCCAAAACGAACTCTTTCTGGCAGTAGAAAGCCTCATTTTTCTCCCCAGAGCAGCTGCTGGTTTCAAACTGCTGACCTTGTGGTTAGCAGCCCCAAAGGTAACCACTATGCCACCAGGCCTTTAGGCTGGCCCTGAAAGCTCATCCTGTTGGTGCCTCTCCTAGCTTTCCCCTGGACAGCACCATTATCCTAAGTAATGCATTCCCCCCATTCCCCACCCCTCTCTTTACTCTGTAGCTTCCCTCACTAGGTGGTAAGCCCATGAGGTCACAGAACTGGGCACATTCCAACACCCTATTGTTTGATGGATGATTGAGGACGTGGCGCTGATCGCTGGGACACCCCAGTGGCCAGGACACCGTCCCTGACCCTCCAGGAGCTCGCAGTCTGCGGGAGACAGCCTTGGGAAAACGGTCAGTGCTACACTCATGATGTCACACAGCATGTCTCACTGGTGACGTGAAGGCAGCACTCACCAAGGGGCTTCAGACTCCAAAGGCTTGTCACTGGGACTGGGGCGAGGTATAAATGAATGTCCACAGGATAATGAACCCAAGGGGGGGGGGGCTCAGTGCATCTCAGTCACCGATGTCGCCAAACAGAGCTGCTCCCTGACTCCAGCTCCCCCCCCACTGAACAGAGCCCAGGCCCAGGGGCCCACACTGCCGGCAATTCACTCTGGGCAGCTCTGGGGACCCGCCACACACTGGATGGCAGACAGTCTCAAGGACAACACTCCAGCCCTGCCCTCTGCCCCCCTGCAGGCTCTCCCCACCACCCCTACACACATGCCACCTCCACTCCTCTGGCGCTAAAGATCCTGCCCATTGGGAGGATTCCTTGGGTTGGAAGAAGAGGAGAGCGAGCGTGTGCATATTTTAAAGCTTGACCTAACGAAAGCAGCTTCTTACCCTCACCTCTCTCCAGGGCCGCTTCTGAGAAAAATAAGGGGCACATGTCAACTTGCACATTTGCACTGGAGCCTGCCTGCCGCCTGCCTCTTCCTCTCAGCCTGTGGTGTCTGAGCCACAGCAGGAACAGGAAACGGAGCAGGACTGACTGGGCCAGGGGTCGGCTGTGTGAGGGTAGCTGGCTGGAGAGAGAGGCTGACGACCATCCCCTTCGCTTCAGGCTGCCTTTCAGGGCAAGGCTCTTGGGCAAGTATGCCCAGTGCCCCCCAGCAGTCCCGACGAGTCTGCCTCCGTTGTCTAGGGCAATGTTGTTCGAAAGGGGGCTGTTTATTTTACTGTAACCCCAAAATGAGCATCACATTTTGCATTTTGAATCAGCAAGCACACGGAGCCCAGGTACCGAGATGCACGGCCAAGATAAAAGGTGAGCAGTTATTCTCCACAGCAGTTTCCTGTTCGTGGGTGGGGTTTCTTTGGTAAGACTGGTCGACGCCCACCAGGCTGACTTTAGGTTCCCCGAAGCAGTTTCCAAAGCTTTAGCTTCAGAAACCCCTGAGCACCAGCTTCGGAGGAAAATCAAGGCCAAGTGTCATTTCCAAACAGTTCTGAAGCTGGCCTATGCCCCCGCCCCCCTTCCCGCCTGTTCTAGTCACGCTGAATCATGAACAGGAAGTGGAGCCTTGGCCGGATCAGGCAAGGGGTCATCTGAGTGAGGGCGGCAAGGGAGCAAAGCTCCCTGCTTTGGGCTCTTTTGTCTATGCAACAGCAAACCAGACGCACCCACTCACTGCCAGCAAGTGGCCAGTCTAGGAGACAGAGGAGAAACTGCCCCTGTTGGTCTCCAAGACTTCAGGTCCTTACAGGAGTAGAAAGTTTCATCTTTCTGCCAGTGCACAGAAATGCTCCCCGGTAGCTGATGACGAACTGAGCGCTTGGGTTCACCATGAGGGGGCCTGTGTACTTCAATATAGCCTGTGACCTCTACCCAGCTGCAATCTCCACATGGGCCTGCGCCTCCCTCTGTAGGGCAGGCCTAGAGCCGATGGAAAATTCCTACAGATGAGTCCGGGTTCGGGCCCACAGAGCTGGTACCAACCAAACCCCCTGCTCTCAGCTCAGAGACACCAGCACGTCAGGGGCTGTATCTCCAACACCTGACCCGTGCCTGACACAAACAGGACACCCAATATATTCCTCAGGCACCCCTACGAGCCCGCCTCATCCAGGCAATTACATCATGAAGGGGGGTGGGTGAGGTAGATAGTTTATTGTGCCAACCTGGCCGCTAAACACATGTGGGATTAATTGAAGGGCGGAGAGATAAATGGCTTGGCGAGCCTCGCCTCTCTTGTCTCTTGCTCTTTAATCATCAGACCAGTGTGCGGCTGCCTTGCTTGTTCTGTGCCTCAATTTGCAAGCTACGCTATCTGTGGGACAACTAACCTGTGGACTGTGTGGCTGTAATTTGAGGTTCCTTCAAGACCTGCTTCGCCACACCATTGGAATTTACATCTCTTGAGCTGGGGACTGTCGGACCCTGTTACGTGGCTGACTGTTGGTGACCTGCCTTGCTGTTTGCTGCCTGTGCCTACAGAGGACGACCCGGCGGCCCTCAAGACTTGAAGGACTGCTAGTGTCTCACAACTGTCTCACGGAAGTGAGTTGCACTGAGCTATTTGTACTGCTTTATAATTTAATTAACTGTTTATTTCTTATGTTATCTATCTATCTAGCTGTATAAATACATATATAATTATTAGCAGTCTGGTTTTGTTTCTCTAGAGAACCCTGTCTAACATAAGGGGGGTGTCTTAGGGGAGGTGAAGGAGAAGGGGTCTCATTGTGGTGTGAGAGTGCATGGGGTGGTTCCCCCCCAGTAGCTTCAGCAAGTTCTTTAAGCAGAAACAGGAAGCGGAGAAAGATGCTAAGTCAGCTGCAGCCCAACTTGGAGCACCAGGCAGGCGAGCAGAGCCGTGGAACCAGGTGGCCGGGCCGCGCTCTTGTTTCTCTTCCAGAGGGGGAACCTCGGCCCATCTCACTGCGGGTCAGCCTCCATAGAAAGGAAGTAACAGCGCAGGCAGGCAAGGTTGTGGGGACCCATGAGCGCTGCAGGAGAAGGGGCTGCAGAGTGGACTGGCACTGTCGTCACTGTGCTGACGTCAAGGGGGGTGGGGGTGGGGGCCCTTACCAGATCTCCACTATGCCGGTGTTCCTCGGCAGGGCCTCTGCCAGCTGTGTGGCGCCCTTGGCTGTGATCTGGTTCTGGATCAGCCTGAAAGAACATGCCAGTGTGAGACGCAGCCTCCGAGTGGACGGTGCTCCCTGGGTGAGTCTTCCTTGTGCGTCGATGCACAGAAATGCACACTGTCTAAGAAACTTTCCACTGGCTGCTGCTACTCCCCCCACCCCCATCCCTAGGGACCCCTTCTCCCTGGAAACCCCTCTGGCTTATGTACAGAGGCAGGCAGGGGAGACTCGTTGGTCATGATGAGGACTACCCGTTTCATTAGCAAGCTGTCAGGGGTAAGGGACAGGGGAGGACTGGGTCCACATGACTTGTCTAGGCTAGATCCACTCAAATAAAACCAGCGTAGCTTTGTATAGATTTCTATGGAGAGCAGAACACATCTGTGTATCCACAGGTAGGTAGTATCGTACATGACTAGGAACAGGGCATTTGTATTACTTGATCAGCTAATCACCAATGCTTCAAGGTTCACCTGCCCGAACCACAAAGTCTGTGAAAGGGATCAGGCAAACTGGCACAGGTCCAGGTGGCTAGGGGAAAGCACAGCTGCTTTGTAAGTGAAGTAGCTGCCAGCTGCCCCTTCTCCCCTTCCCTGGGGGGTGGGGGGACCTAGAGGTTTCTGAGAAAGCCCCAGGCCCTGCCCAACATCCAGGAGGGGGGGAGGAGAAACAGTTCTCAGGTGCAGCCACTCCTGGGGCCCAGTGGAAAAGCATCCATTTCATTTCATCCCTGACTTCGGGCGGCAGGAGCCCTGGTGGCATTGTGGGTTATCCATTGGTCTACTAAACAAACGGCCAGAAGTTCAAAACCACCAGCTGCTCTATGGAAGAAAGAGGAGGCCTTCTATTCTCGTAAAGAGTTGGCAGTCCTGGAAACCCACTGGGAGCAGCTCTACTCTGACCTACAGGGTCACGGTGAGTTGAAATCGGCCCGGTGGCAGTGAGCTATGTCAGGTGACAATGACCAGTGTGAAACAAAAGTGGCAGAGGTGGCCAGTAAGGCCAGGAAACTCCCACAATGCTCATCAGAGCCTTGGGGCTTCTCACTCAACCAGGAAGTTAAGTGCAGCTGGAGGCAGCAATGTGTGGACTGTGCCTCCCAGGCCGACGCCTGGCTGTTGGCAGACTAAGGCTCGTGCCACATCTGACCCTGAGAGAGCCAGGGCACCGACCCACGAAGGGCCTCTTACTATGCTGTTGTGAGGGCTGCAGCCAGCACCATAGGGTCTACACATCAAGAGGGGCAGGATAGTACAGTGGTTAACAAGTTCCCTGCCCCCAACTCCCACTTTTCAGTTGTGAGGCTCTGAAGAAGGAAATTTAGCTACCTGCATCTCAGTGTCTTGCCTGCCAAGTAGAAATAATTATCCAAGTACCTTCGCTATAGGTATGTGGTGCTCCACTGGGAAAGGAGGCATGACGCGGTATTTAGCTCTTGGCACCCTTGCAGCACAGGACCCCTACCGGTGGCACCACTGCAGCTGGGACCCCACACTCCCAACCACCCCTCTCATAGGCTGGCACCCCTGAGTTCAGGGATACAGATGACAACCTTCCAGTAAATATGACCTCAAGTGCAGCTTGGGCATTTCTTTCCGAAAGGAACAAAAATCAGAATCCAGAAGTAGACAGAGATTCACATTCAGTCAAATGCCCCAGGTTTCCAGTCAACACCATCCAGGTGGTAGCCCTTCAAACCACCGACATGCATCTTGTGGGGGCCAAGACTGGGCAAGGGGCCAGCTAGGAAGCTAGTACCTCATGTGCCTATAAAGCTTGTCAGTGCTCAGGCACTCCATGCCTGGCGGGCAGACATTAAAGAGGGTCGGCGTGCACGCCGCATGCATGAATGAGGCAGCATCCCCTTTTCTATATCTGTTCTGACTCTGGCTCCTAGGGGAGGGCATAAAAGAAAGTGAAAACAAACAAGGAAATATAAAAGGAGCAGAGTCTGTCTGGGTTTGTTGCTTTGTTTTTAAGAAATTGACAAGGTAATCCTGAAAGTTCAAATTCAAACGCAAGGGGTCAAGAGTACTCAAAGCAATCTGGAAAGGACTCGCTGGAGCGCTCCCACTTCCTGATGTAAGAGCCCACACAAAGCTGTAGTAATCAAGACACTGCGCTCCTGGCATAGGGACAGACAGTAGAATAGAATCGTCTAGAAACCCGTCCCTCTGCTTTTGATCAATTGGTTTTTTGAAAAGGGTGCCAAGACAATTCAGTGGAAAAGAATACTCTTTTCAACAAATGATACTGAGGTACCAGACAGCAACACACACAAAAAATGAAATTAGAACCCTTACCTCACGCCATCTTTTTTGAAACATAACTAAAACTGGACCAGGACGTAAATGTAAGAGTTAAAGTGATAAAATTCTTAGAAGAAAGCAGAATTTTAACTCTTCGTGACCTTGGGTTAGGGGATGCTTCCTCAGCTATAGCATCAAAAGCACAAGCAACAAAGAAGAAATAAAACTGGATTGACCCTCATCCAACTTAAATAAGCAAAAAGGTAAGCCACAAGATGTGAGGGAAAAATTGCAAATCGTATGTGATAAGGGTGTAGTATCCAACTCAATAATAAAAAAGAATTCTATGGGTATAAAAATTAAAACCAAAAGAAGAAGGGAAAGGAGAAATAGGTATTTCTCTAAGAAGAAACACAAATGGCCAACACGCACATGGAAAAACGGCATCCTTCACCATTAACCCACTGCCATCAGGTTGATTCGAACTCGCAATGTCCCTGCAGAGGGCTTCTGTGCATGAAGACAACCTCATCTTTCGCCTGTGGAGCAGTTGGTGGGTTTGAACTGCTGACCTTGCAGTTAGCTCAATACTTACTCCACAGCGCAACCAAAGTGCCTTTTCTGAATCATTAACCAAACTCACTGCCATTGAGTCGATTCTGACTCATAGCAACCCATAGGGCAGAGTAAAACTGCCTTTTTGGTTTTCTAAAACTGCAAATCTCTATGGGAGTAGACAGCCTTATCTCTCTCCCATTCAAACTGCTGCCCTTGTGTTTAAAATGCTGCCCTTACACTTAAGCAGGCCGATGAATAACCCACATGCCTTCACCTAGCTAGTCACTAGTCCTTGGGAAAAGCAAAGTAAATACGACACTGAGATGCCACTTCAACACACGAGAATGGCTACCATCTCTTGGCAGTTCATTAAAAAAAATGGGGAGAATCTGCAGCAAGCAGAAGCCTCATGCATCGCTAGTGGACATGTATTGTGGGTACAGCTGCTGTGCAAGCAGTCTGACAACTCCTCAGAAAGTTCAACATCGACCTTTCCTACAACCCAGCCATTCCTAGCTCTGGATGCGATAGAATTGAACGCCTGGCCACACACAAATGGGTACACAGATGTTCAAGTCTACTTGCCATATAGCCCCAAAGTGATAGCCAACCAAATGTCATCCACAAACTAACGAATGGACAGACCAAATGGAAAACGACTCAAATGGATAAACGCAAAGGAATATTATTCACACATAAAAGGCAATGGAAGTAGTGGAATGTGCCACAGCTAGGCTGAAGCTTTTCAAGGTTATATGAAATATCTAGAATAGGCCAGTGCACACAGTTCGCTGGCGGGTGCCCAGGGGTGCAGAGAGGGGGAGAATGGGGAGTTGTTGTTCTGGGGCTCCTGCATTTCTGTTTGGGCTGATGAATTTATGGAAATATGAGAGGGCTTCAAAAAAGTTCGAGGGAGAAATGGAATGAAAAGATGATGCCATTTTTCCGTGAACTTTTTGAACCCCGCTGGTAGACGGTGGTGATAAATGCGCAGTATGTTGAAAGTTACCCCACAGGATTTCACATGTTTAAAACAATAATTAAAATGAAACAAGTTTCACTATACACATCTTACCACAATAAAAGAAAAGGGAATGAAGTTCTAATACATCCTACAACGCGTAGGGACTTTGAAAATATACTCAGTCTAAGGGCCAAACACACAAAAATCATATTATGATATGACTCCATCTATATGAAATGCCCAGAATAGGCAAATCCAGAGACAGAAAGGGGATCCGTAGTGGCTAGTCGCAGTGGTGGGGTGTGTGTGCGGCACGTGTGTGTGACTGCTGATTGGAGTGGTGACAACCTTCCTGAATTCGTGACGATGGTGGTACCACCTTGTGAATAACACAACAAAAATCGCCAAATGGCACCCTGTAAAGGGTGGCTTTCCTGGGATATGAGTTTGTATCTGAACAGAGACGGACGAGGAGTCGGACATTCTAGTTCCCTTGAGTTACCATAAATGTGTCAGCGTCTGGTTCACTCTCAGCATTTCAGCAAAGTTCTCAGCCACTTCGTCGTTGAGCTCGTTTTTGGTCAGCCTGGAAAAGAAAGGCGTGTTTCCTCTGCAGCAGGGCCCCAGCCTGGGTCTGTCCGGCGAGGACTGGTGCCCACCGGTCCAGAAGGAGCAAACACTAGCCAGGGTCAAGCCCAACCTTTCAGCCCCTGGGGTGGTTTTAAAAGCCTTACAAACTCACTGCCATCCAGTCGAGGCAGACTCCTAGTGACCCTACAGGACGGGAGAAGCACCCTGGTTTCCGGGACAGTAACTGTTTATGGGAGTAGAAAGCCTCTTCAGTGATGAATTTCCCAGCCTCCCACCACAAAGCCACCTAATCTCCCCGCCCCACCCACAGTCTTTGTTGAGCCCACAGATTTCACAGAAAATGGAGGCCTGATGCCTGTTTCTCAGGTCCCCCCCACCCCTCCAACGTCCCTTGACCACCACTGACTGTGCCACCGAAGCCAGCTATGTGGAGATGGCATGCCTCGCAAAAGCCTGCCAAGCCCCCGTCCCAGTGCTCAGTGCTCTTCCTGATCAAGTCTCAAGAGATGAGCCTGCTAAAACGGGGGGAGCATATGGAAGAGAAGTTCACATTCTTACTGAACCCACGAAGACCGGAGGTGCCCCGAATCTGATGTCCTCAGATCATCTTCACACTTGGGACAGGAAGTATCCCTTAAAGCCATCCGCCCTCTGAGGTCTCCCTGTGAGCTACATGGGCTTGGGTCTCCATCAGTATTAGGAGGGAGGCCCCAGGCAGGCAGCTCGATTTCTCTGGGCCCCAAGTCTGCTCATCTGTTCCTGTGAGCGGTCACGCGGGCAGCCCCAGGTTACAAGTGAGATCCATTCCTAGCTTTGCCTTTAAAATTTTGCAGGTAAGTTGAGCCAGATGCACACGGTTCTATAGCCTTACTTGTCCCAGTGGCGTGGGGAGTGAGGCACTGATTAGAGCCACAAGGTGGGCAATTCAAATTCGCCAGCCTCTCCTCAGGAGAAAGCAGCGGCTGTGTGCCCTCATCCAGATTTACAGCCTCCAAAACCTTAGGTCGGAATTGACTTAGTGGCAGTGGGTTTAGTGCATGAAAAGGCCCCAAGCATTTTCCACGACTTATAAATTGCACGTGGAACAGGTGATGATGGTGACGGAGGATTTATGGGAGTACGAGCAAATTTACATCGCACGAAAGGAGAAGTAGGCAGTAAGGGTTGGCCTTGAACCCTGCCCTATAGGGTTGCTGATTCAGCATCGAACTAGATGCCTGTGCATGAGTGAGTAAATGAGTAAGGAGTGAGGAGTGAGTGAGTGTGTGGCTGTCTGTCTGAGAGTCGGCCTGCATCCCTGTGGATCTGAATCTACGTAGGAAAAAGACCTACAGGAAAACAGGTCATGGGAGATCTTTTCGCTTCCTGCTCTTCCAACTTCAATGTTTGGCGTTTTTGAGGTGCTTTTGAGGGGAAGAGAATGAAAGTTGCTATCACGCCGGCAGGTGTGATCAGAACTCTCATTACAAAATGCTAACTTCATCGCTTTAGGTAACGAATATAGCAAATCTAAGGTGACCAGATTTTAACATTGGTAAAGTGGGACACCATTGATAAAACTCATATCCTGGCGAAATAGCCACATGGCAGCCAAAAACCTTATACCCTAGCTTGTCGTGCATTCTTTCCAAAAATCGGGACTTTTTCAAACGCTGCAGGACATGGGACAAATTGTTAAAAACTGGGACTGTCCCGCCAAAAGTGGGATGTCTGGTCACCTTAAGCAAATCCCTACTGAGCTGAGAGTGGAGGGTCTATTGAAGCTACACACTATTGAAGGAGGGGTGCTTCAAAAAGCCTGTTGGGGGGGGGGATTTGCTTTTCACTCTGTTTTTCCACAACCTTTTTGAAGTCTCCATGGGCAAATGCCTTACACCTTAGAAGCGGATGACACAATAAAGTAATTTTTTAAAATATAATTTTTTAAAAGTGGTTAAAAGGGGTGGGTGGTGGTGGGACAGAGTGCCCTGCCAGGAGGTGGGAGGCAATATTCGGTCCCGGCATGCTGCGGGGAGGCCCTGGGCTGCCTGCGTCAGGAGGCCAAATCCCACTGGGGAGTGCTGGGCAAGGGTGGGGGGCGGGCAGAAGAGAGGCGGCAGCTAGAGAGAAGATGGCTGCTGGCCAGGGGCAGGGAAGCAGGCCTCCTTGAGCGTGTCCCCTGAGGACACCCGGACCACTCCGACCGCTGATGTTCTGGTTTCCCCGTGGCCCCCAAGGGCAGCCATACGCTCTCTCACCCATGCCCCTGGGGCCCAGTTCCTGCTTCTGGAAACCAGTATGCTCTTCTCTAGGAGAGATGAAAAGGGCCCTGGTGACCTGATGGCTCAAGTGCTTGGCTGCTAGCCCAGAGGTCGGCGGTTCAAACCCACCGGCTGCTTCCCAGGAGACTGATGTGACAGCCTTGGCAACCCCATGGGGTCGTTCTGCTCCAAACCGCAGCCTCGCCACAACGCAGAACCAACTCAGTGGCAGTGGGCTGTTTTAGGGGAAAAGGAAATGACCAACCCTACTTTGAGGAAAGGCTGAGAGCCTGTCCAATCAAGAGGCAGCTTTTCAGGTCAGAGTTTGGGTGGGACGCAGCCCCTGGAGTGATTCCCGAGACCCAGCCCTTCAAAAGGAGTCTGGCCATTACCAGAAGATCCTCAGAGACGTGTTCCGCTGCAGGGCTCGCGCCAGGCTCTTTCCTCCTTCCGTGGAGATGCCGTTGAACGCCAGGCTAGGAAGAAAACACTGGACGTAGATTCTCAGAGGCACCGCTACACTCGGCTTGGGCTTCGGCCACCAAAGATGCCACTGGATGGCTTGCAACAAGAAGCCGGCAGGCTTCGCTGCTCCAGAGCCCACACTCAGAGCATGAGGACCAGCAGAAGGCTGCTTCAGGGGCATCGGGGAGAGTCGGCCCCCGGCTCAGTTCCTCAGGGTTCTACACAAGGACATGCTGGAGCCTGAGGGCGCCCCCCAACCCCAATGAGACCTGGAGATATTCCTTCTCTCTTTATAAAGAAGCAGTCCTTGCTCTAGGCACCCTCCCCATCTTGGACTCCCCTTTGGGGACATGGGCAAGTGGGAGGCACCCAGGTTCTGGGATTCTGTTCTGCCAGGGACCTGACCGAGGGCTGGGGAGAAGCAGGTGGGTCCCAGTGCCAACCTTCTCCCCCCACCCCACCCCCCCTGGCACCTCCACAGGCTCACCCACCAAGAGGCATCCACGTGGCCCCATGTCGGTCACGGTCCCTGGTGAGTGCCCTGGAGCCAGTGGGGTTTGGGAGCAGCGGTTACCTCAGGTTGGTCAAGCTGGGGTGGTTCCTCAGAGCCTCTGCGAAGGCCTTGGCTCCTTCATCGCCGATTGTATTGCCCCACATCCTGGGGGCCGGCAAGACAGTGAGAGGCAGACCCCATACAACACAGCACCGCCACCGCCTCCCCTTAATTTTCTGCCAATGGCCCGGCCGATGGCATACTCAACAGGCAGGTGTTTTTTTGTCCCGTCTCTGTGCCCCAAAGACTAATTTCTGACCCCAGCCTCCGGGGGCTGCTGTGGACTGATTTGGGGGTGATGATGAGAGTAAAGTGCAGTGGATGGCTTGTGGGAAGCCGATGAGCAAGCTTTCGGGGGGTGGGGAGCAGCTGTTGGGGAGGCTACTTTTGGGGCTGTCTCCAGAAAGACACAAGCTGCATCCCACCTACTGAGGGTCAAGGGGGCTGCAGCTTGGAAGGGAGGTGCTGTGCAGGGGACGCCCTTCGGGCAGTGTGTGTGTGAGGGGTGGTCCCAGCTAGCATTCCACGAGGCACCGACAAGGAAGTTCGCACATTCAGAAACCACATCAGCAGCGTTCCTTGCACATGAAGGGCATGACCAAACCATGCTCTGCGGACCGGTGCAGTCTCGGTGGGGTGGTTACCACGACCAAGCAGATAACCTGAGCGGATCAGGCTCTGCCACCTTCTACTGCGAGACCTGACCTGAGGGGAGTCGCACAACCTCTTCAGCTCAGCTTCCTCATCGATAAGTAGGGAGGGTGAGAGGGCCTTCATGCAATGGGCTATCTGCATTAATGAGTTTGAAAGTGCTCTGATAACCAGACAAGGAGCAGAGCAAGCTGGCCTGGCGACTCACAGCAGGACTGTGGTCACCTCTGTGACATCCTCTCACCAAGAGTTACGGGCAGAATGGTACCCCTCGAAAGAGGTGTGGGGATCCTGACTTAACCTGTGGGTGTAATCCCCCAGGGAACAGGGTTTTCTTAGCAGAGTCCGTCAGGCATCATCAGACTAGGGAGCGTCCTGCAAGGAGTCTCTGACGGAGGAGGAGCAGCAGACGCACAGAGACAAGCGAACACACAGGAGGGAAGGCAGGCACCAAGCGGAGCTTGCCAAGGAAGCAAGGGACGCTGGGACCACAGGCGCTGGAAGAGATGAGGATCTTCCCCCAGAGCTGGTGCCCCGATCCGGACTCCTAGCTGCCTTGAAATCAGAGAGAATAAATGTCTAAGAACTTTCTTTTCTGGGTTATAGCACCACTAGGACACTCTGATATCAAGCAAGCTACCTGCCTGCACACCTCCACCGACAACCTGCTAAAACCCCCAGCAAGTACTGCCCGGAATAATAGCTTTCAGAACATTTCACTGGAGAAGTGTGGGTACTACAGAGCCGAGTGGTATCGATTTCTTTCTTTTCAATTTCCTAATGATACGGAAAACTACTCGTGGCACGAGAAGCAGGTGGGATACATTTCTGTACCTAGTTTCACCTCTACTGTATGTTAAAAAGTAAGGCAAGAGAGACAGGTGGTATGAGGACTAAAGGGAAGAGGAGGGGAGGTTGTTCAGTTGACTTCAAATGTTAGCAAAAATTACTTGTGACAACCTTTTATTTCGTGTTTCATATCTCCCAGTTTCCAAATAAAACGGTCTTTTTTTTATATCAGACAAAATGTGTATAACAATAGGAAAAGTTTTCAAAAGTCTCCATCCAATACCCCAACACAGAAGCCGCTGCTCCGGCATTGATTCAGTCTCCGAGCTACCCTGTGTGGGGTTCCTGAGACAGTAAATCTTTGCGGGGCAGGAAGCCTCGTCCTCCTTGGTGGAGGGTCTGTACCACTGGCCTTGGGGTTAGCTATCCAAATTTTAGCCCTCAGCACCCCAGGGTGCCCTTGGAAAGGAAGCCTCCATAGATAGACATCATCTTCTGAGAATATAGAGACCATCTGGTGGGAGCTTCCCACTAGGTCCTGGCGGGCCGGAAGCTCCCCCTCTGTGCTCTGTGACAGCACAGAGTTTTGCATGCCTCCAAGGGAAGTCCACATGATGTTACTTGTAACTGATCCCAGGCCTTCCTGTTCATTTCCCACAAGGAAGCAAGGGGCCCTTGAAGACCCCAGAGAGGCCACCTCCCCACAGCCACCTGGCCACAGTGTGCCCCTGGGGTCCTGTGACTGGATTTCTGCACAGAAACACCCAGCAAACTCACCTACTGCTGTAGGTTGTCACAGTCTCTCTCTCTCTCTCTCTCTCTCTCTCTCTCTCTCTCTGCCACTCACCCAATCTCCATGATTGAGCTGCTGTTCTTCACGGCCATGGCGAGACACCTGCCTCCTTCGCTTGTTATTTTGTTTAGTCCTAGCCTGCAGGGAGAAAGAGAGAGAGCTGTCAGGGACCGTCTGTCTCCTGTGTGTGTGGGGGGGGAGGGGGACCCCAGTGAAGGGCTGCCCACTTCCCCAGCACAAGAGCCCCTCCTTGAGGAGGTGTGGCTTCCTTGGGGAAAGGAGCCAGAGCTCAGAGCTTGGAGCTCAGAGGAAGCCAGCTCAGGAAGATTCCTTCCCAGAGGTTCAGCATATTGTGGAGAAGCATGGGGGGGCCTCAGGAGCTCCCTGGGGTTCTCTGCCAGGCAGACCCTTCCTTTCCACACGCAGGCAAGTTGCTCCCCTCGGTCCCTGCAGAGCGTCCAGGCTGGGCCAAGGCCAGCTCTCCGGCACCCTTTGCAGGACCCTTCTGTGGCAAGGGAGGATCCCGCTCTGGGCTGCGATTAGATCAAGGGGCAGACAGACCACCTCACGTCTCCTTGTCCAGGAGAGCTGGGAATGCCAAGCCTTCCTTGCGCACCCAGGCCAGGCGGTCCCTTCCGACCCACGACAGTCATCCGTTCTCTCATGTTCCACTCACAGAAGAGAAGAGGGGCTCAGGGGGGAAAGTGGTTACGGTGGCGCTTATTCTTCGAATGACCGAGGGAGGGGGTGGCCAAGAGAGGCCAAGGAGAGGACGCCCCCCCCCCGCCCCCACCCCACTTACTTCAGGTGTGTGAGGGTTTTGCATTCGTTCAGGATCTGGGCGATGTACTTGGCACCCACATCGGTGATCTGGTTGTTGTATAAGCTTTGAGAGAGAGCAGAGGTGGGAGATGGCGGAACTCCCAACATCACATAGTGACCCCGACTTCTGCAAATAAGTCAGTAGCCAAGCCCATTGCTGTCCAGTGGATACTGACGCATAATGACTTCACCAAAGGCCCAAACCAAACCCACTGCCATCGCCTTGGTTCCAACTCAAAGCCACCCTATAGGACAGAGTGAAAGGGCTTTGGGAGCCTCCAGAGACTAAGGATATCATTGTGGAAGCAGCTGGCTTTCCCCAAGAAGCAGCTAGTGGGTAAGAACACCCAGCCTTGTGGTTAGTGGCCCAGTGCTTATCCCCCAGCGCCACCAGGGCTCAACCACTTTCTTCAGCTCTATGACCTTGGGCAAGTGACTCAAGTGTCCTGTGCCTCCATCTCTCCATCTGTAATACCGGGGTAATCACTAAACCCTAGTGCTCTCACAGAGGACTATAGAGGAGAATTTTTAAAAATGATTATAAGAGAGAATGCAAAGCACTGAGACCAAGTGCTCACTAAATGGTGGGTCCTGGGTCTTAGGAGGTCAAAATCATCTTCAGAGGAAGAGGTTTCTAAAGCCGGGGCCTTCTCCGTGTCCCCCTCGTAGTTATCTCATCACGTGAGGGCAGTCAATGCAATGGCCAGGTAAGAAGTGGTTGGAGGCAGTGACTGGACGGAGGCTTGGAGCAGTCCTGACCACCCAGACCAGCAGAGCTGGGAAGGGCCATCTGCTCCATTGAAAGCTGAAGCCCTGGCTCCGATGTACAGAGCCAACAGCGGTATGCAGCTGGTTGGACTGGCCTCAGTCCCTTAGCTCAGACTCCAGAATCCGCTGACCCTGCCATTCTGACTCACAGCAACCCTCTACCGAGTTTCTGAGGCTGTACATCTGTCTGGAAGCAGACAAGCTCAACCTTTGTCTGGCGGAACATCTGGTGGGTTTGAACCACTGATCGACCTTGCTGTGAGCAATTCAGGGATCCGCAGCACCGGGCGTGGCACCGGTTTGTGGTCTTCGTTTATCCCACTTGGTTTGAATACTCACACATTAGCTGAGGAAATAGTACAGTATTTGAAAATGGGGTATTGCGCAAGACCCCATCAGGCATATCACTGAATGTGTGGTACATGCGTTGCATGCCCCTAGTGTGTGGTACACTAAGGTGACCAGATTTAAAGTGGGACACCATGTACCGAGGGGTGGGTGGGGGGGTGTCTTGATTAAAAATGTGGTATATATGGATCAAATAGACTGTTCCCTAGCTTGTCGTGCATTCTTTCCAAAAATCGGGACTTTCAAAAAATAACGCCAAAAATCGGGACTGTCCCGCCAAAAGCAGGACGTCTGGTCACCTTATGGTGCACACACTACATTCCAACTCATGTCTGCCCCCAATGGTTCTCAGTGAGGGTCTAGGAACCTCTAACAGTAAACCCTAACACAATCTTTTGATATTTATAAAACATGACCAACATCAAGCTGATGCCAACTCATAGCGACCCTAGTGAGGGTTTCTGAGACTGAAACCCACCACGGGAGCAGATAGCCACCCCTTTCTCCCCAGGATGGCTGGTGGGTTCCCCTTCTGACTTTGGGGTTAGCAGCCCAGCAAGAAAGCCTCTGAGTGACCCATTGCACGACCAGGGCCCTTTTGTGAACTGTACCCCTACCTGTTCTTGAATTTCCTCCTTAGTAACCTGTGGCAGCCCCACACCCACAGAACAAAATGCTGCCCAGTCTGTGTCATCCCAGGAGCGGTTATAGAGCCAACCATGTGACCCGCAGCAAGTCCCCTGGGTGATTTTTCAGCAGTCGGGCCCCAGGCCTTTCATCCTACTCCCTCTTCATCCGGGAGCCTCAGTGAGAGCCACTCCTCATCCCGGCAACGCGCAAGGCTCAGCTGACAGACCACGGGTGCAGCGGCCAGGAAAGACAGATTCCCGGTCTCCCTCCCTCGTGAAGATGAGAATTCTGCCACCGTCCTCTGTACAAAAAGTGCCTCCCGAGACCAGGATGCCAAGGAATCCTGATGGCACGGGGGATTAAGCATTGGGTCGCTAACCCCAACGTCCACATCCACCTGTGCTCCATGGGAGAAAGAGGAGGCTTTATGGCCTTGGAAACCCTGTGCAGTCATTCCACTCTGCCCTACCCCAAACCAAGCTCGCTGCCATTGACTGTCACTGAGTATGGGAGTAGAAAGCCCAGTCCTTCTTCCTCAGAGCTTCTGGTGGTTTCGAACTGCCGACCACACGGATCACAGCCCAGCGCATTACTACTACACCACTAGGGCTGATCTGCTGGTTCTCTGCCCTATCAGATGGCTATAAGTTGAACCCAATTCCATGGCAGTGAGATTTTGATGCCACTTTTACAGGGGAGGAGGGTAAAACGTGGTCAGGTTGTGCACTTGCTCAAATCGTAGACACAGGTCAAGCCGAGAGCAGAAGCAGGACTCTTAACCCCCGTCTAAAGATCCTCCCAGTGGCCCAGACTCTCTTCTTCAACCATCCTGGGACCCCACAATTAGAAATCTGCCGCTTTTCCGTGCGGGCTACTGTGCGATGGGCCCCATGTCCCCCAAAAGTGCTTACCCCAAGTACGTCAGGATTTTGTATTTGGTCAGCTCCTCGTAGAGCACCTTCACCCCGCTGTCAGTGACCTGGTTCACGCTGAGTCTGAAACACGGCAGGAAAGAAAAGTCAGACTCTTTGTGGAGCAGCTGTTCCTTCTGAAGAAGTCTTCATCCCACCGGCATCTGCCCAGCCAGCCATACCTGCCAGGGGGGCGGGGCAGGAGGGAAGGGGCAGCATCCCCACTCAGTCCCCACGGCTGGTAAGACTCTAGCCCAGCCCCATTCATTTCAAGAATGCCTGTGGGTGCTTAGGAGAACGTTGTGAGGGGCCCATGGGCCAGTCGGACCTTCTACATGGTTACAGTGAAGAGAGAAAACACCCCATCACTTGGGAGTGGGGCCAGTGCTGGGAGAGGTCCCACAGTGCACAAAACACCCGCAAGCACTGGTGCTGGTAGCTGAGGTGCTTAGCCCCACTCCTGACCCCTCCCCGGGGTTCCTTGCCTGGGTGCTCTGTGGGAGCAGCTCTGCAGGTCTTTCTGCGGTAGAGACACCTCCTGAGCTCAAACCACAGGCAACAGCCGGTCTTCCCCACAAGAACTGACCCACCCCAAGTGCCAACGGCACCCCTGTGCACAATTGCCCGGGCTGAACCTGACCTGCACCTATTGGTGACTGCTGTCTGGGGAAAGGCCAATGCCATCTCAGAGCCTCCTGAGGCCAGACTTATGAGGGCAGGATGGCGAACAGCTCCTGGACAAGGTGGCTGGGAAGCCTCCATGCAAACAGGCCATTTGAATGCACCTGATGCCATGCTGGGGTATGAGTTAGGCTGCCAACCGCAAGGTCCATCCCATAAGGAGACCCTGCCCAGGAAACCCCTGGGGGCAAACCTACTCTGTTCTCTGTGGTCTGTGAGTTGGAATGGGCTCGACGGTAGTGGGATTCAGTTGCAAATAAGCCCTGGTGGCATGGTGGGTTAGGCAGGGGTGCTACTAACCACAAAGTCGGTGGTTCTAACCTACTAGTCACCCCTTGGAAGAAAGATGAGGTTGTCAGCTGCAGTAAAGATTTAAAGTCTCCACAGCCCTATAGAGCAGGGGTCCTCAAAATTTTTAAACAGGGGCCCAGTTCACTGTCCCTCAGACCTGTTGGAGGGCCGGATTATAGTTTTAAAAAAAACTATGAATAAATTCCTATGC